ATAACTACAATGTAAGTCCTATTACCATTGGACCTCAACCTTCTCTGACACTTCATTGTCCCTGGATTCTCTATGGGTTTGCTTAGAATTTATGGGATGTTTTGTTGGTTGGATTTGTTTGCTTGTTTTAATTATTTTATGAAGTCCTTTTTATAATACCAGACAATATGCTAGTTGCAGTTATCATCACTGTTGGAAAACAAAATATGGAAGAAGATATTATCATTTTTCTCAAGGTGTTTTCCATCCCTTAAAGATTTCCGTCAATATACCAGGATTGTCATACAAGATGAAGTATTTAAATGCCTTAAGAGTACTGCAGATGAAATATTTACTGAAGACCACAGGAGAGTGGGGGTTCTAAAATGTTTTGCAGCACCTCAACCTAGGAAAGCAGGGTGTTCTCTTTCTTTCTTATTCCCAACTCTGTTGGGACTACAGAGTAGCTGGTTCTTTTCAAGATTATGAATCTGTGTACTGGTGCTGAGAAGTGACGTATCTGTACAAAGTCCAATTTTTAGTCCATTTGCATTAGCACTAAAAAAAGAGGTATGATTTTTCCCTATTTTTTTCTTGTAGAGGGACACAAAAGTGAAGCTCAGAAACAGTCATAACAGTTATAAACTGTTATGTAAGGCTCTGTAGCTACCTAGAGTTGTGATGCATAAAATAACACTTATTTCAAAGAATGATGCACTCAAAGTTTGGCTTTCTAGGTATTTAATAATCTCTAGCTAATAAACTAATTGGTGTATGGTACAGTGAGGCCAATACCCCTTTCTATGCAGAGGTGCTGGAGTCAGTAGAGTGTAGGCTTAGGGGCAATTGCCAACACTACCTAAATTGAAACCAGTTCCTTAAACTCCATTGATGGGATGATTAAAACTTACAAAGCAGCTGTCATTGACTTGTATATATGAAAGACAAATAAAAATAACATTGATTAAATATTTAATATGTCCTGGTCTTAAACATTTTATATATATTATATAATGTATGATTACTCTTATTATCTTTGTTTTACAGACAAGGAAACTGAGTCTTAGAATGATTAATAAAATTTTCCAAGTTTATAAACTATGAAGTAATAAAGTATCTGAAGTAGGATTGGATAATAAAGTAAAATAGAAATAATGAAATAAAAGCATAGGCATGTGTTTAAATAATATACACACATATACATATTCTCACATATATTTAAGTTTACCAAAATTATTTTATATGGCTTACTATAAAGGAATCGTAAAATAAAACTAAGAAAAATAGATGAGGGGCTGGGGAGATGGCTCAGTAGAATAAGCGCTTGCCTGGCAAGCGCAATGGCCTGAGTTTAATCCCCGGTTCCGGAAAAAAAAAAAAAAAAAAAGAAAGAAAGAAAAGAAAAGACAGAAAGAAAAAAGAAAACAGATGAAGCATGAGAATAAGGAACTTGCTAACTTTGGACTGATTATCAAATGGGAAAACAAGAAAAAACGTTGACCTCCCCCTTTTTGTACCAGGATCAAGCCTCTAAGGCTGTCACACTAAGCTACATTCCAAGCCCTTTCATTTATTTTTTATTTTGAGACAAAATCTTGCTAAGTTGCTAAGGCTAGCCTCAAACTTGTGACCTGTGCCTCAGTATTGCATAGTGCTAGGATTCCATGGGTGCACATTATGCCTGGCTGTATTGGCTATTTTCAATATCCTTTTACCCAGGTAATGACCAGTGGTTTCTATTTTCACCACCATACATTACAAAACTCAAGCTCTGCAAACTATGACTTAATTGTTCAGCACCATTAGAATTTAAAGTTTCTTGATATTTATTCTCAAGGGAAAAATGTAAATAAAAAAGTAATTCTAAAGTAATAAAATATGACATTAAAGGTAGCTCTAAGCCCCTTTTTCTTAGTCCTGAGGCCCTATCTCTCACACAGTAGACTGGAATTCTATTGCTTCACCCAGGAGTAGGTAATTTTCCTTTTCTAGCATTTGGTATGCATAAGTGCTTAGCACATAGAATAAATGCTCAGCAAAAGAATACTGAATAGGCCCCAAATGCAACATGATGCTCAATACAAATGTATTGGGCATAGTATGCAATATGTGATTTTAAAAATGTCACTTTTCCAACTCTAAAGGTTCTGTGGACATAGCAGTTTGTCCAGTAGCAGCCATGACCTGCAATGAGTTACCTCACTGCACTGATATTCTTGTGTGTCAGTTCTGATAAGTTAGCACCTCATATTGTCAGAGATCTACAAATTCAAATGAAAAATGCTGGGTATGATGTGCTAAGACTAAATCACAGACATCCACATTCAAGTAGATTCTCAAGGAAATTAAATCTCTTACTGTTTATCAATTTTATTTTGCTTTTGTGACCATATGCTTTATTAATAAATAATATTCATACAATTGTATTTTTTGATTTATACATAAATATACATATACTGAGGTTGCATGCTCATTTTACTAATAGCAGTAAGTGATCTAAAATCTCAAGTTTGTAGCTCTAAATAATTCTGTTAAGCTAAGCATAATTCAACAAAAATATCTTTGCAAGTATAACAAAATAAATTGTGTTCTCCTTTGGTGGGGGCTGGGGCTAGGAGTGGGGACTAGGTTAATCTTTAATATTTTTCATAAAAATACAGGTATATACTAGCAAATAACTCACAATGCTTCGCCCAGAAGTTAAATATAGTAACTCTTGTTGACTATTTTCTCTTTTAAAAAGAGCATAGTGAAATCCTATGAAAGTTTTTTTTTTCCATCTGCCTCTTGTATGTGAAGTTTTTAATTTGGAGCGAAGGCCTGTCAAGTTACTCAGAACCTGCACTGGATCTTAAAAGTCCTGGATTCAAGATTCTTCTTCATTGGTGTTCTATGTAAAATCAAGCAGCATATCGACTTTGTCCCTGCATCATTTCCCTTATGAGCAAAAGAGAAATAATAATACTTATCAACTACCTCAGAGCAGTGTAGTGTGGATAAAGGACACTTTGTTCCTTCTGTCAATTAAATGCAGAAGATTGTGATTTTTTACACTGTTCCCTTCAAAAATTATTTTCCTTTTAAAAAAACAGAATAAAACTATCACATTTCTGGATGCTACTTTGTTTTCTAAACTTCAAAAACTCAAATTTTCTCTGTATTTGTTTCTCTTTTGCGCTTATAACAAATATACACACAAACACTAATTTGATAGTTTTAAGGATGTGAGAGAAAAATCTTAAGATGGCATCAAGGAAATGAGAGGAGTCTTGAAATACGTTTTTGCGTTCAGTTTTCTTTTAAGTTTTAAAAATCTATGCATCTAAGTTATTAAATCATATTTATTTAATCTCCAAAATGTTCATGTTTAAGAATAATTCACAGGCTGTTAAAAATAAAGGACCTTCGGAAAATATCTGGGTTCTAAGATGGTTGGTACATAGTAGATGCTGAATAAACATTTAATGAGGTGAATCTGGAAAAATCTTATTCTTATTTTAAAATAAACACTAATATCAACTCTGGATGCTAAAGAATCTAAATCACTTGCTAGAGATTGTTCAACTACTTAGAATTGATTTTCAAATGTAGTTCTCCTAATTTCCAGTTTTCAATTTTTCCCAACAACCTGTTGACTTATTTACATCAGACTATTAAATATAATTTGCTTAAGATGCATGACTAAAAAAACTTAAAAGTCCAGGTATCAGCTCAGTGTCTCCAAAAGTCACCCAACGTATAATATTCACATATGATGTGAAATATGTGTTCGTGGACATTCTTACATCTATATGTTCTATAAATATATAAATCTTCCACATATTGAATCAAAAGGCCTGTTTGTTAAGGCAAAGTGTCAACAATGGAAATGCTGTGACTTAACTCTTCATTATAGCAGTTTGCATACCTACACAGGTGATCTCGGTTCCCGGACTCGCTGAAAGTGGAAGGGCTATTTTAGCAAAGTGTTTATCTCTCTTTCTGCCTGTTGTATTGCTTTTCTGAATTTACCTACGAATGGGAGATTAACAACCTTAACGTATTATAGTCCTAATAAACTTATGCACTATTTTGGCCTATGTGATAGCTAACCCACTGACAAAAGAAATCCAAGCTGATAAAAGCCTTTCGTGGCCACTTGTTAGCCAGGCCAGTCTGTAAAATCATAATACAATGCACGCCTCTTTCATGGGGCACCACAAGGCAGCGATCAAAAAAACCCCTTACTTCCATATCCAGTGGAGTTGTAGTTTATTACCATAACCCTCCCAAGTCAAAAGGACACCAGATCCAAGCCTGGCAACTTGGCGCAGACAGGATTTGTCCCCTTCCCCCCACTCTGCTGGGCCTCTCTACCTGTCCTCTCCTACTGTCTACAGGTCCCGAACATTAAAAAATAGAAAATGTGATGATCTTTGTGTGTCTCTGTAAAATGTGTGTATGTGTGCGTGTGTTTGGGTGTAACGGGCCTTCTGTTTGGCTGCGCGGCCTGCCCGTCACGGCGCGGGCCAATGGCAGGCTGCCTTATATAAAATGAGTGTTTTCAGTCTCTCGGGGTTGCATGTACTGTATGTGGAGCAGCGTACAGTGGAGCGGAGGCAGAGCGGCTCCGCGAGCTCCTCTCCACTTTCCCATAGAGCAGCCCTGCCTGGCGCCGAGGGCAGCCACACGCCCTCACGCCGGCGAGCCCGCGAGGTAGGCGCCCCCATGCGCAGCCCTCCGCGGGCGTCCGCTCGCACTTTCTGTTTTCCGACTCACTTGCGAGCAGCCGGCTGCAGCCCCAAGGACTCCGCGGCAGGAGCCGCGGCGGCAGCCGGTAGGGTGGACTTGAGGAAGACGGAGGGAGCCGCGCGCCCCGCCGCCCCGCCGCCGCCCGCGCCGGGCACTTTCCCCGCCGCCAAAACTTTGGGTCCG